GGGGGGGGGGGGGGGGGGGGGGGGGGGGGGGGGGGGGGGAGAGGAATGTACTAGGTTGTGGCCTTAAGCTAGTGCTTGATATACCAGTGGAGTACTAAAGTATTTTGCATTTTTTCTCCTACCTCTCTGTATTGTAAATGATGGCCTGACAAAGATGAATGCTTGATTCATGGCTATGCTCTCTCCCTTGCCACATAGGAAAAGAAGACCATGAGCCATTCCTTCCCACGGGGTTAACCGCTGAGATGAAAGGGGAGAAAAGTCTGTGGGGCAGGCAGGAATCACATAGTTTGGACCATGGTGCCGTGGGAAGGACAGCGTGACAAGGCCCTGGATGAGGCCCAGAATACCTGAATATTCTGGGTGGTACCCTGGTGCCCAGCAAATGAGTAAAAATGGATGAAGAGATGGATGCCGAACAACAAACTTAGATTTGCTGACCCAATAAAGTTGTTTTTATCTATAGGTAGCTGGAACATGTGCTGTTATATCCACTGCATGTACAATTTTTAAATTATTATTATATTATTAATATTTTTTGCTTTAATTTACAACCCAATAGTGCCCCCAATGGTGGAGGCCAGTACTATACCAAGAACCACACAACAAATTATAATCATTATTTTCTTCTACATTACCCAAGAAAATCCATGGAGCAAGACAGAGAAAGAGAACAGAATGCAAAAGAGAGAGAGAGAGAAAGAAAGAAAGAGAGAGACAAAGGGGGGGGAAAGACAAAGAAGTATTAGTAATGCTTGGGATAAAATCTACGAAGATTGACCTCCAAAAGGTGTTTTCATCATGCTACTATGACAGGCTCACCATTTGAAACCTAGAGGTTGGCACATAAAAATAATCAGGTAAACCATAGGAAGAAAACACTTTCACTTGAGTAGATTCCTGCCTTGTATTTTATCAACTACAATCTGTGATTTAAAAATGGCTCAGTAAGCAAACAACAGGCCAACCCATTCTCCTTCTCCTCACCTCGCTTTACTTAGTGATCTGGTGGTTTGCAGAACAATTCATTCCCAAGATATAAAAAGTTAATATTTCTCCCTGTATGTATTCCATACCAAGGTCCGCTGGATTACCATCCAAACCTCCTTTGCTTTTCACATTATTTCTTTTTTTCCATTTCCTTGTCCTTCTTTGACCTCCTGTTTATTCCTTAACTTTTTAGCCCTCCCATCTATCTTATCTTCAGATCACACCTTCGTAATTAAGTGAAAGTACCATCCCCTTTTCCGGCTACCCAAATTCCCCAATTCCTTGCTTCTTCTGATAATCAGACCCACTTACTCACCCTTCGAGCCTTGCTCTGGTATTTTACAGCTTTCTTGGTGTCAGAGACGGCTCTTTCCACATAATCCACAGAGTGCTCAACATTGTACTCGATGCGGTCAATCATCTCGCCCTGAAATGAGAGGAAAAGCAGTCAAGGGAAGACCAGTTGTACGCTCAAGTTTGAGTGGATCGATATTATCAACAAGCATAGGAACAGCCTACAAAACATTATCTTAAGTACGCTAAGGCTAACCATCCCTCAGTTTGGCAGCCAATGGGGAATATGAATCTATGGAAGGCCAATCCTTTCTGTAAGGTTTAATTTCTTCCTATTTATTCACTGAATAAATAAATGTAGTTCTCTGTAGTTCTCTGTACTTCAGAGATGTCCCAAAGTGCTTTTTCCAAAAGGCAAACTGGGCTTTCTTGTATTTTTCTTTGAAAATGTTTTGCTTCTCATCCAAGAAGCTTCTTCAGTTCTGCCACCTTTGGGACAATCATGATCTGGATGATTGAGAAACTCCATAGACATTGTAATTCATCTGTTATGTTCATCCGTTATGCTGGTTTAGTAGTTCATTCTCTCTCTCTCTCTCTCTCCCTCTCTCCTCTCTCCCTCTCTCCTCTCTCTCTCCCTCCCTCTCCTCTCTCTCCTTCTCTCCTCTTTGGTCTCTCCCTCCCTCCTCTCTGTTCCCTATTTCTCCTCTCTCCTCTCTCTTCCCTTCCTCAGCCTCTCCTCTCTCTCTCTTCTCTTTCTCTCTTTCTTCTCAGCACTGGCTTGTTGCAGACCTCCACTCATCAGAGAATTGAAAGCAGAGCTTTCCATCATGTGTGAGTGTGGGGAGGAGAAAGAGGAACATTGCTTCTTCCAGGAAGGGTTGAATTCTAGGAAGTGATGTTGATGGTTATGACTCCAAACCACAATCCCACAGTGAATTTTTTTTGCATCAGTTTTGGCTGACAGGGGCAGAGAAGCAGTCCCCCGTGACTCCATTTTCATTCTTTGTCTCATCACTCTGTGAAGAATCTGCAAATGAATGTTGTTCTGCATATTTCTTCAAAATCTTCCAATCTATTCCCTGTTACTCTATCTACCAGAGGCAGCTTATTCTGTACTCATCTACAATGCTTACTCCTCATTAAGCTCTCTCTGGGTGATTTTGGAAGTCTACAAACTGATGAATGCTTTCCAAACCTGCTAATAACATCCCTTGCATACAGATAATAAAATTTTGGGCACATAATGATCAGAAATTTTTGCAAACTGCTCCCGCAGAAATGGCCTCAGAAGAGTGGGTGGTCAGTGTATCAATCCTTCACATATAGATTTGAAATACAGGCAGTCCTCAACTTACCATTTATTTAGCGACCATATGAAGTTATAACAGCACTGAAAAAAGTGATTTACGACTGTTTTTCACACTTACAACTGTTGTAGTATCCCTGTGGTCACACGATCAAAATTAGTGTGCTTGGCAATTGGCTTATATTTATGACACCTGGACGGTTCCTGGGGCTTATAATCACCATTTGTAACCTTCCCATTGGCTTCAGACCATCAAAGTCGATGGGGGAAGCCAGATTTGCTTGAAGATTGCATAATTTGTTTAAAACAACTGCAATGATTCACTTGACAACTGTGGCAAAATATCATAAAATGAGGCACACCTCACATAACAATCGCCTTATTTAGCAAGAAGAATTTTGGGCTCAATTGTGGTCATAAGTTGAGGACTACCTGTACATATCCTACATTCCTGGAACAGCTCAGCAAAAAACATATAATTAAAGAATATGAGAATGAATTAGATTACAAAAAGACAAAATTAAATAAAATAATAGTACAGAAGAAGAAAGAATCCAAATCAACAAGAACAATATTTTAAGAGTGTTAAAATGATTTTTAAGATGTAGTACTTAAAGAACTCGTTAACATAAACTAATTTTTAAAGTTAACATTAATAAAGTTAAAGGACTTTGGCTCTTTAAAACATAAAAATGTAAAGATTATCATTTTGGCTTTTGGTCTGGTGGCAAAAAAAAGTCACCGGTGGGTCCCACTAATGATAAAAGCTGATCCACCACTTGCCAACACCTGACTTCCAAGAATGAGCATTTGCCTTAGGAATAGATCTCAGTGCAGTGCAGGAGATACCTGGCTACAATATTGTGCAGGTTTTTAAAGGAATAGCCTGGTATTAGACCTGTAGTGACCAAAGAATTTTTGGGGTGTTTCTGAAATTATTTGGTCCAATTTCTTGTTCTGCCCTCTCTTCCACAGTTTCCACCAGTCTTTGAACACACTGAGAAGTCCAGATGATCTTGAAAGATAACCTAACATTGCCATCCATCACTTTCTACCTTTGCCTTCCGTACCTGACTCTCGACCAACATAGCCATGTCCACAAACATGTCATGGAGCTCCCGAATGCTGGTTTCCAGTTTGATGATCTCGTTATGCCGGGTTTCAATCTCATTCAGGGCCTGCTTCGTCATCTGTGAGTCCATTTTGATCTGGAAAAAAACAAACCACACCGTGTGGGGCATGATTAGAAGACAGGAGAAAATCTAGCAGTGAGTACCAACCCAACAATTGTTCCTGCCTGACATGGACACTAGTACAGAGGAGGGAGAAGAGGAGGAGGAGGAGGAGGAGGAGGAGGAGGAGGAGGAGGAGGAGGAAGAAGAAGAATTTCTTTCTTTTCTTTTTTTTTAAAATTTGTTGATTCAAAGTTTCAAAAAATAGTTTTAAAAAAGAGAAACACGTTCTCACATTTTGCAGCATTTTCATAACAGTGTACATAGAAGAACAATTTCTTATAGGCAGATGGTGGGATATTTCTGTCCTGCTCTCTTCCCCCTCCCGCCCCCCCTCCAGATCTCCCTCACTTCCTTGGATTCTGGCAACTGGATTCCAACCACCAAATCACATGATGGAGAACCTGGTCAAAGAAAAGACGTCTTTCCATTCCTCAAATGCTAAACCCAGGGGTCATCCAAGGAAGATGAGCGGACAGAACTGACAAGAGAAAGCACTCCTTCTATAACATGTAATTTGCCTGTGGGAGTCATTACCACAGGTCGCAAATTTGGTAGGCTTTCAAAGAAGACTGGGTAAGCTCATGGGGGAAAGGTCAGTCAAGGGCTGTTGGTCTTGGAAATTCAACACTAGCCCTGAATTAGAGACACAATGGCTCCAAATTGCCGGAGGAGAAGAAAGGAGAAGAGGACATGCCTCCATCCCCTGATTGTAAGGACCAGGAGTGGGATGCTACCAGTTCAGCCCGGTTCTATAGAACCTGTAGCTGCTAAGAGCAACTGACACCGAACCGTTTTGGTGTTCGGCCCACCCACCTGTCCCAACTCTAGCATGTCCTTTATTCCCTGCTTTTCCCTCCTCAGCTGTTTTGCGCGGCACAGCTGAGGTTGAAAAAGCAGGAAACAATAGGACTTTCAACCCGTGTGCAGCGCGTGTCAGCTGTCCAGGCGGCACAGCTGATTTCTTGCAAACGCTGCACACACATGCAGTTTGGAGAACCTGCAAATCGCTCTACTGGCTGGCCCCACCCCGCCCCTCCCCGCCCACTCACTCATTACCTGGCATGCGAGCCATCCAACTTGCCTGGTTTGGTAAGTTGCTATTTTTTTCTTTTTCCCCCCGACTATCAGTTGTTCTGCTCTGCCAGGAGATTTAGATTAGCTAGAAAGCAGGAAATCCTTGGATTTCTTGCTTTCCAGCTAATCTAAAAGCAGAGCCGAACCTTCCTTAGGACTGAAGCTTCCACTTTCCAGTGCAGACTCAGGTAGCCAATTGGAGATAGATCTCTAAATGAATCTGTGATTCTGTCAACAACTCAATCTGCCTGTCTGCTTTGCCTGCTTTTGTGTAAAAGTTGGTCTTTTTTTCATAAAAAAATTCAATATTTACATACATGGCGTATTGTGAGTTAGTTTTGTGAGTTTGCTTGCAAGCAAATTTTATGTGACGGACTCAGGTAGCTGATTGGAGATAGATTGATCTCTAAGTGAATCTGTGATTCTGTGAACAACTCAATCTGCCTGCCTGCTTTGCCTGCTTTTTGGTAAAAGTTGCTCTTTTTTAATAAAAAAAATCAATATTTACATCAATATTTATAATATTTACATACAAGCCATGACCACCCAGTCACATGACCACCAAGCCACACCCACAAATTAGGCCACACCCACAGAACCGGTTAAGAAATTTGAATCCCATCCCTTGTAAGGATTTGTGGTTGCCTAACAGAAGAAACAAAATGCTGGGCTATGATGGGCCTTAACCTGATCCAGTAGAGCTATTCTTACATCCTTATTCATAGTGTCTACAAATTCTTTGAGAGCTTGCTATTGCAGCCACCTTTCAACCATGGGAGATCCATCTTTGAAACTCTACATGCTTTCCAGGCTATATTCAACCTGTTCTACTAACCCCAAGAGAACAGAAAGCCAATTGGGGGCCCAGATACATACATCGTCAGTGAAAATCGCCAACTTTCCACTCTCTAGCATGTCTTCTAACTCTTCATTGGTTGTTGTCCTGCCAGCTGCAAGAAGGAAAAACAGAGCCATGAGGAACAACTGTGTGGTGTGATATAGCAGTTTCATAAGATCCAGCTTGCTTCTGGGCTAATTCCCAAACTGCCCCTCTGGTTAAGGAGGAAATGCCTGAATTTGTGTTTCATTCTGCTTGTTTCTAAGGTATTTAAAACCATCACTTCTAAAAGGGAGCTTCCCATCAATGGCTAATACAAGGAGAAACTATGCTGCTATGAATTGGCATAGAAAACAGATCTCATTTGGATCTCCTAATTTGTCCTGCCTGACTCAGAAAATTTTGCAGAAGGGGCTCACTTTAGATCTGTTCACTTGGATCCCACCAACTGCAGGACTTGGGAGGAGGCATTTTCAAAATTCCTTTTGAGCTCTAGATAGTACCTCATCTGCTAGATTTCAGAAGACTAGCAACATTGCAATTTCATTATCTGACAAGGTAACATCATCAGTGCTAGTCAGTGTAGAGTTTGATTCCTGTTTATTTTTATTTTTATGTATTTCTATTTCATGTTTCTAAACTGCCCATCTCCCTCAAAGATGGGCTCACTCGCTTATTACAATCAACAGCAGTGATGATGTTACATAGTTGGGTAATGAAACATCCACAAGAAAACAACCAAGCTCAGAGAGGACGAAGGACCCTACAGTTCAACTTTGAGCTACAAATATTCTCTTCTGTAAGTTCCACTCTGTACTTATTTATGTGTTTGTTTGTTTGTTTATTCATGTCAGAAGCAGAAACATTCGGGGACTTCCGGTGGTGTTCTTGTCGACAACGGACCAGGAACCGCAATTGTGCACGGCTTTGATCCGTGCTTACCCTGTTGGAGGGATCCTTAAAGGACCGGATCCTTCTGACCCAACTCAGAGGAGTGGGGGGAAGAGGGGGAGACCGCCAGCTGGAGAGTAGAAGTGGTGAGCGGCGTGTAACTGGATAAAAGACTTTGAATACTCTTTTTGAATACCCCAAAAAAGCTGAGAGAAGGAGCCCTCGTTTGAAAGAGTGGTAGCGGCGAATCAGAAATAAGAGGAAAATATAAGGTAAAGAAAGAACCGGAAATAAAAGAATTATATACAATTAGAGACTAAATTTGGAACAATATATAACATTGTTCCAATGACAGTAATCAGGCATTAGATAAAATGCTGGATTTTGAACTGATAACATTTAATATTAATACTAATATTAAATACTATGGAAATAATATTAATACTATGGAAAAGTGATTTAAAATAAAAGAATTCTAAGAAGAAAGTGATATAGAACACCATCTAAGGATTCAAGATTTCCTTCTTTTATTTCTCTATGGGAAACTATCGGTTGTATAAACAAGATCCCTGGAAGCTCATAAAAAAGAAGGGGAGATTATAGTAAAATATAAAAGAATGCAATGCTTTGGGATTGTTGGAAGTTGATTGTGATAAGGAAACAGAAGAAAGAGAACGTGAGATACATGGAGACTTTTAACAAATACTATAATAGAAAAACTTGACTTTTAATAAAATAAAGAATAATTTAAAAGATCAAAGAAATGGAAGAAATAAGCAAAGAATTTAAATCGGAGCTCCAAACTGTGAGACATATGCTTAAAGAAAAAATGAGATAATTATAATTATCTGGTCGAGATAATGCTGAGTAAAGTAATGGAGTTACATCTTGAAGAACAAAGGAACCTCAGAGAGGACGAATTAGGAGAGGAAAATAACAGCCTTGACAAATATGGAGAACAAGGATCATTATTAAAAGACATAAAAGGATTTTAAAAAGAGACATTGACAACAGA